AAACTAGAAGATTTGGGGATAAGCTAAGAGAAAGTAGGCTGAGGTGGTTCGGGCATGTAAAGAGGAGACCAGAGGACTACGTTGGGCGAAAGATGATGGATATGGCACCACCAGGAAAGAGGAGGAGAGGGAGACCGAAGAGAAGATTCATGGATGCTGTCGTAGAAGACATGAAAGTAGTGGGAGTGGTAGAAGAAGACACCACAGATAGAAGGAGGTGGAGGGAGTTAACGCGCTGTGGCGACCCCTAACAAGGGAACACGCCGAAAGGCAAAGAATATATATATATATATATATACACACACACACACACACACACACACACACACACACACACACACATATATATATATATATATATATATATATATATATATATATATATATATATATATATTTATATTTATATATATACATAAATATATATATGTATATGTATATATGTATATATATGTATGTGCATATATATGAATATGTCTATATATATCTTCCTATCTATTTACGCTCACACACACACACACACACACACACACACACACACACACACACACACACACACACACATATATATATATATATATATATATATATATATATATATATATATATATTGTATATTTCTTTCAAGATCGTATCTAAGTCAGATTAGCTCAACTGCACCATATGCGTGTAAATCCGCAAGCAGATTACGCCCATGCGATGTGTCTGTGCATTCATGCACACGCACATTGCCCGCGCGCGCGTGAGCACATGCAGAGTTTTGATAGAGTTGGGCTAGTCTTACTTAGATGCGATAGTGGTGTCTGATTGCTAGTTCAGTCCATGTATGGTCAGATGCTATGGGAGTTTACCCTATACATCACAACTGGTCTTGTAGTTCATTCCGTACAAGGTCAAAGGCTATGGGAGTCCACCCTGTGCATTTATATGTATGTGCCTCGTGACGTCTATAGGATGAAAAAGCTTTGGGAATCAACACTGAGGAGAAATCCGGAGCAGTTCTTTGTTCTATCGCCCAGGCATAGTAGAGACAATAATGGCATAGACGACATCGACTGATGGTGGCCGATATATATATATATATATATATATATATATATATATATATATATATATATATATATATATATATATATCGATTTATCTGTATACCTTTTTGTATTTCTATCTATCTATCCACACACACACACACACACACAATCCACAACCGCACACACGCGCATTTTACTGTTTATTGCGCTCTAGATAACAGCACACTTATTTAAGGTCTTCGTGGAATAACAAACAACTGTGACTAATGCGCTATGAAGTAATTTGAAGGTCGTTTTACATTTTACACGCAGGAAGTTCTTTTCAAGGATTTTATGTCTTATCATCAAACGATAGTGATAGCAAAGGCTTCTTTCTTTGTTTCATTTTTATTTTTATTTTTTGACTGTTTCTTTCTGTTTCTCTGTGTCATTATCATTGTGATTATTATTTTTTGTTATTATTATAATTATCATTTTACTACTATCATTGTTATTGTTTTCATTTCATCGTCAATTTCATTTTCGTTTTCGTTTTCGCTTTCGTTTTCATTTTTACCTTCAATATCACTGTCATTATCACTGTTACTGTCACTGTCATTTTCATTGTCACTGTCATTATTATTAGTCATTATCATTATCATTATTGTTGTTATTATCATTATTATTGCTATTATTTTTACATTAAACCACTGCCTATATTTTAAAACAAATTTCTCTACTAAACTATATTTACAAACATTCTATACAAAGGATTGTTTGGTCACAGACTCTACAAGACATATTGCCTACACTGATTATGTCGAATACAACGGGCTATGCAGTAAGCTGGTCAATTCTTTAACCTATAAAAGTGTAGTTAATTTTTTTTTGTGTAAACTTTTTTTGTTTTTAATAAGTGACCAAAATGACTTTATGTGAATAGAATAATTACAATGATGTATTTTATTGTATATATATATATATATATATATATATATATATATATATATATATATATATATATATATATATATATATATATATATGTATATATACATATATACATATATGTATCATGATATAATTAATAAATATCAAAACAATAACTTTTTTTTTTACAGGAAACATATATATATATATATATATATATATACATATATATATATATATATATATATATATATATATATATATATATTTATATATATATATTTACATATACATATACATATACATACACACACACACACACACACACACACACACACACACACACACACACACACACACACACACATATATATATATATATATATATATATATATATATATATATATATATATATACATATATATATATATATATATACATGCATATACATATATACACACACACACATATCATTGGTAAATATCAAAACAATAACTTTATTTTTTCCAGGAAATGTATATATATATATATATATATATATATATATATATATATATATATATATATATATATATATATATATATATATATATATATATCATGATATCATTGGTAAATATCAAAACAATAATAATAACATATATATATATATATATATATATATATATATATATATATATATATATATATATATATATATACATATACATACATATATATACATACATATATATATATATACATATATATATATATATATATATATATATATATATATATATATATATATATATATATATGCATATATATATATATATATATATATATATATATATATATATATATATATATATATATACATATATATACATATATATATATATATATATATATATATATATATATATATATATATATATATATATATATATCATGATATCATTGGTAAATATCAAAACAATAATAATAACATATATATATATATATATATATATATATATATATATATATATATATATATATATACATACATATATATACATACATATATATATATATATATATATATATATATATATATATATATATATATATATATATATATATATATATATACATACATATA